TGGAGGCAGCTGCTGCCCTGCCGCCCCTGCTCGGTGCAGATGCGCCTTCTTCCTGGAGTCTGTTCCTTGCCTGCTGGCAGACTCCGTAAGCGCTGAGTTACAGCCGAGCTGACCGAAGTGCTGCATATGCGGTGCTGCTGTCTGTGGGTGGTTTGGGTTTTTTTTTTTAAAACAAGCAGTTGTGGATGTAGATAGAAGTTAATTTACCAAAGCTGTTAATTCAGAGCCTCTTAACACTTCAATCCAAGCCTCCTAATCACCAGTACAGTTTAATGCACTTAGTGTACCCAAAATCTATTGGAAAGGGGTTGGCTTAACCTGGTTTTGAAATCTGGAGAATCTCTTTGGAAGCAGCCTCATCGTTGACTGGCACTGCTGTTTTCTGACATCTTTTTAATACGATATTTATCTTGGATCTTTGAAAATTCCTTGAGTTCTTCCTCATCTGTGTGTCTATATCTAGTTTTTACTGCTGTGCTGAATCATCCCAGGTATAACTGACCTCTCAGTTGGGCTTGGTACAGTTGGGCAGGACAAAAGACACAGATTCCCTCCAGAACACGTTGCTTTTGTAGGTTCAGAAAATATCATACTGCAAATCCAGTCAGGTCTTAGCTTAGTAGAAATGGGACAACATATGCAATGCTGTCATTTCTCATATATATTTTTACTGAGAACATTTTGTGGAAGAGAAAGGGCAAAAAGGTATGAAGAAAAAAGGAGCAGCTCAGAAGGAAGTGGTGGGAGATTCACCTTTTGCGTAAGCGTGTTCTGAAGATTGTTTGGTTTTATATGGTGGACAGCGACCACCCTGATCTCCCTGGGAATGTGAAATTGGCTTCATCTGCCATGTAAGCCGTAATTTTAAGAATGTATTTTCCTGTTGTGGCTAGCCTGTTACAGGGCACTATAAAAAAAGTCTGAAATGAGCAAAATCTTACTCAGAGCTTTTATAAAAGTTAAAAAAAAATAAATTCATAACTAGACCGAGGGAGTACTTCTCATCTGAAACTAGAAGAAAAATCTGGTAAGCATTTTCTGAGAACAAAGCACATTGTTAGAATGTGAAACTTGATCATTACTGACTTCAGTTTAGCAATTTCACATCAACCCTGCCAGACCCAGTCTGGCTCCTGTAGAGCTACTGCGTCTGCGGTAACATAAGATTGGAGGCAGTGCCAGCAGTTTCTTTGATTTTTGCAAGGGAGAAAAGTGTTAGCTGGCTTGATTTTCTGCTGTTTTAACTTCTTGAACCAACATGGTCTTCAAAGATCGCAGAAGCACAATGGAAAGAAGCAAAAATGCAGGTCTTGGGAAGCACAGGATTGCAGTAGTACTGACTTACATTTGCGCAAACCTTCAGACTGACACCTTTAGGGCTATGATGTTGGAGTGAGGACAGCTTACCTTGATATGGCTGCAGAGATTCTTCCCTTAAGTTCTCTGTGCTGTATCTGTGCCTGAAACTGCAAATCTAGGGCTAGGATAGGAAAGCTGCTTTTATAGTGACTACTAGTCTGCTACAACTTACTGCCCTGCATATTGAGGTGACCAAGATCAGTTTGCTTCGATGTACCATGATACAAGTTGGAGAAGTTTGGCTGAATCTTCCCTGCAGCTTCGTCCTTAAATGCTGTGGAAATATATATAATAGGACCAAACAACAGGAAACATGATTTAGGGCCTTACTTCTGTCTCTGAGGAAAGGGAAACTGTTTCAGAGTTTCTTTCCTCTTTGTTCTTTATTACCTGAGAAAATGAGGAATGTTTGGGAAGGTGACTCTAAAAGAAAAGTACCAGCCATATCTGGCAGAGAAAGCAAAAATACTCAAATCTAAATTCCTGTAGCACATTATGTTTCTGTCTTCTAGGAAAATGTGGTCCAACTAGTGGCATGTAGGCCAGATTCAACCTTTGAGAGACTTTTGTTTAAACGATCATCTTTTCTTTAGATGTGTTTGCTGCCATAATAGTTGAACACTTTCTGTTTTGTGTGGTGTGTGCACATACGTCTATGGCAGCCCATGTCTGGGCAAAAGAGAAACAAAGATATTTTTCCACTGTATGTGTGTGGCGCAGTACTAAGTCTGAAAGTTGTCACTTCTGTATTTTCTTGAGTCTTGAAACTGCCATCCAGTCCTATAGCCAGACTGAAGTGCATAACGATAAATATTTTTCCTTAGATACTATTCCATGTTTATCTATTCATTTATATTATCAAATTGACCAATATGTTTCCACGTGAAAAATTATATGCAGGCACTTATTAAGGAAATCTACTGTACAAAAAATAGGAGGAGGTGGGAGTTGTGGTGTGGGATGTACAGCCTAAAACAAAATTGTGAATGATTTCTTTAAAAGAAAATGCTGACACTGAAAAAAAAAAGTCCCGTAATGAGGGTTTGGCTCATTGCTCTGGTCTTAATATGCATGAGTGCCTTGGCACAAATCTGCTGATTGTTATATCTACAAAATGGTGAAGGCTTTTTCTCAGCAGAAGTTATGAAAACACCCAAGCAATGAAAAATAAACTATTGGACAGTTTATAGTCCTTCTGATCTCTTCCAGATATATGTCTTATTGCCATGTGCATTGTTTTAAAATTTAGGGGAGGTTATTTAATGTTAAAGGACTGAACTAGGCATCAAAACTTGGGATTTTTACCTTTGTAAATTGGTTTTAGAGTTTATATTTTCCTCTGACAAACCTATTCTTAAGACGGAATCCTGAGAATCAAATTGAGTCTTGTTCTTATTTACTTTTAGATGCCTGTCTCAGATGTCAAGCTGAAAACAAACAAGAAGATTGTGTTGGTATGTAGTGATTTCATTCGCTTGTTTTTCAATAGAAGCTTCTCTCAGTAGGGTGCATTTTAGAGTTTGAAGGGAATACTGATTTTGTTAATGCTCAAAAGTAAACTGGTGTTTTGTTCTACATTGTGTCATCTTTTTACATTAGTAACACTTTATGCATTAGTTTTGAGCACTGATAAAACTAGTTTTCACTTCAGATACTATAGAAACAAAACAGCTTCAAATTTGCAGTCAGCACATACGCAACTGAGAGTTTTAAGTTTCTCTCACCCTGAGCTTAATTGAGGAGATGATAATGTGCACTTTTGAAGTGGTTAAGAAAAAGTTACCTTTTTTTCTTTTGAGATGCATGCCAGAAGACACAATGGTATTACCAATAAAAATCCTTTGTTCTGAAATAAATGTGTGTCTGGGTTAGAAAGTGGTATTTTTCCCAGTCTTAATGAAGACACAGTGGAGGAATTGCCTTTTTTGTTGACTTTACATTTGAAAAAGTGGAATCACTTGAGTTTGCTATAACGCTGTTTTGACATAAATATACTTTCCGTTGCATACCAGTGTTTTCAAGTATATTGTCTCAAACTTAATCCACTGTTGTTTTTGATGATATAATGAGAAAATTCCTGTTCCATATAGCTTAATTGGCTTGCTAAGTGTCTGGTCAGATAGTCAGAGAGAAAAAAAAGCATGATTTACAACACTCCTCTTATTGGTACCCTATTATTCCAGTAATGAAAATGTTAAATAATTAAGGAGAAAAAGCATATTAACTAATACTATTCAGGAGTAGATGGACAATAGATAACCATTTTTTTGTGTTGAAACTTCTGGTCTAAGATCTCATTTTAGGCTATATACTGTGACAAATGAGCCTCCTTGCTATCATGCGTTTAAGTTTGAACACTGCATTTCAAATGAAAATTTGGTAATATGCTCTTGTGTCAGTGCATTGTCTATATTTTTTGGTACTGGGGAAGATAAAGAACTTTGGTTGCACTCATTTCCTGAACAGAACTGATAAATGTGTTTATGCATTCACAAAACTGTGTCACTATAAAGAACATGAGCATATATGACCTTTTTTTTTTGTACTTGGAAATAAATAAAAGGTTTGATGGCTGAGAATTGACTGTCATCAGAATGACCGTAATAATCCAATATCAGTGGATCAATCAGTGATCACATGTTTTGTCACTAAAGCTTGCAGTGGTTATAAAATCTGAGAAAGATAGTTTGGGCCTTGCTGTAGATGTTCGTTGGACAACTGAGTGTGACTGGAACATGTTCTTTCTTCTCTTTCAGTGGTTTGGGGAGAATGCAATCATTCCTTCCATAATTGCTGCATGTCCTTGTGGGTGAAGCAGAATAATCGCTGTCCCCTCTGCCAGCAGGACTGGGTAGTCCAGAGAATAGGCAAATAAAACCACTGGAAGTTTTTCTATTGAACATATTGAAGTAGTGTATGTCTTACACCATATGCTCAATATAAAGGAATGGAACATATCAGTCATGGCATGATTTATTTAGTTTATCTGCTACAAGATCAGTGTGATATTGTTTGCTCTTTGAGGAGGCAGTGGTCAGTCTTGTTGCATATACATATTTCCAAACTGAAAAGAAAGACACTGCATTGACAAATGTATCTGTTATGGTTTGAGTGTTAACTGTATCAGAGCATAGAAATGTGGTGGTGCAGATTATACCCTAAATACAGTTTATTTAATGTTGTTGCGTAGGTAAAGGAATTAATTTGAAAGGGTGTCCTTACCTGTAAGTCTGATATGCTGCATAGTTACTGTCAGGATAAAGAAATTGTTTTCAAAGTAATATACAAAAACACAGTTGATGAGTTTTTTACAAAATATTCTGGGTTTTGGTCTAAAATGAATAGCATGTAAAGCATTTGCTATGTGCTTTTTCCATAGCACTTTAGCAAACATTTCTAGTTCATGTTTTCTTTATGACTTCAGAAAATTTCTTGTATCTCAGTCTGTTGCTGTATTACATTATATATATGATTTATACAACCATAGCATAAAAATTTAGCCACATTATTAGTCTTTTAATATATATTTCTGTTAAAGGTCATGGACACATGTATTTTTAATGCAGAGACTTTCCATGTCCAAAGGCATGTGTTTGATATCAGTTAACTAGAGGCATAAACAGTCTTACTGGTTAGCTGACTGATACAGAAAGCAAACAAAACTGACAAGTTAAATATCCCAAGGAAAGCAGGTACTAATTACATCTAGGGAAAAATGTTACATTTTGGATTTGTGAAAATTGAGTTAATAGAAATTTCTTTATCATCATTTTATTGGTTATAGTGTTTTGGAAGCAGGAGAAAGCATTGTTTCATTTTTATGGAAATCCTCAATATATCATGGGTTTTGTATGAATCATGATTATTTTTATTTTATACAAAATATTTCAGTGCTTGCCTCTGGTTTTGTCTTTTTCCTAAATATCCAAAGTAATTACTATTAGTCTGAAGATGTGCTGTGGTGTTTTTTTTTTTTACTGTATGTAATAGGTTGAATTACTGCTGTAACAAATTCAAGCTTAATAAAATGGTTAATAAACATGGGTGAAATTGAAGCAATGTCATTGTTTCCTTCAGAATCATAATCTTAAATGTTTAAGATGAATGCATTTCTCATCAGATGTATTTCTGCCTAGTTCTGTTTATTTTAAGTATCTTTAAAGAGATTTATCTTCACTGTGTAAAGTCATTCCAATGGAAATCTTTGTATCACCAAGCATACCGAGTATATGGTGGTTTTGTCTTAAAAAACGAGATTACAAGTATTGATGTTTTGATTTTTAAAATATATCTTTTGTCACATTACACACTGAGATAAAAAAATCCACTTTGTCACTGTTTACAGTGTATCGTTTTGTTATTATTCCAGATGATGTCTGTCTTAAAACTGAAAACAAATACAATATAGGTTAATGGTGGTAGTGAAGTGCCTGTACCATTTATGTTCTTGATTGTCTAGGGAGATTCTTCCTAAAACGATTGCAAAAGAAAATCTGTTTGGAAATAATTTTTAGCTGTGAAAGTTAAACTATATCTTCTCTAATGCCTATTTTCTCTGTCAAAATTTGGTCCCAGATTCCACCTTCTAACTTCTGTTAATTCCATTTAGTCCCATCAGAGGACTTCTTTCCAAAGTTTCCCCTGGTTTACAGGTGAATATGGAAAGTACCAAAGTAATTTTCACCCTGCTTTTTCTTCATGTCATGTGTGTGACACGAGTAGCTGAAAATTATAACCATAGAAGAGTTTTCCAAAGTGTCATCTCAGAGAAGTGCAAACACAAATGAGGTATTAGAAAAGATAATGTTGAAATCAAAGCAGCTGATACTCATGTATATCTGTTTGTGTATTATAAGTATCTTGTTGACCAGTAATTAGGAGTTCACCCGGAATATAAGGTAATGCCTATTAAGTCCTGCATATTTTTTTCTGAGATGAACTTAAGTCCCAGTCTTTTATGAGCTTTGTACCGGTACCTTGATATGCCATTAGCATATTTCCTAACAAGGACCTATTTTTAGTCCTGAATTTGTTCACCTCTTGTGTCACAGAATCACAGAGTTGTTGAGGCTGGAAAAGACCTCTTAGATCAAGTCCAGCCTATGACTCAACAGCATCGCAACGGCTAGACCATGGCACTAAGTGCCACATCCAGCCTCTCCTTAAACACCTCCAAGGACTGACTCCCATCACTTCCCTGGGAAGTGTACATGCAAGATAAATCAGTTTGGCTTCTCACCCAAACATAGTGTGACATAGGTTACACTATTTTAAATAGCCATTATGGACTAATAGATTAATGCTGATCTACATTTCTGCACTGTTTAATAAATGCTAGGCACATCTCGATAATTCAGCAATTACAGCTAGAGTATTCTTTCAAAAGTGACTGGAGTGATGAATATGTGTCCAAAGCTTGCGTTCACCCGTAGGTCTCTAACTACCAGCCATTCGTACTGCTAATATTTGAGCTGTGGTGGCATTCTTGCTGACTGTAAAAAAAGGCTGTGCTGAATTTTATGGCCTTTGATTATCTTCTTTCTTGTCTTTCTATACCCTGAATGTTACAGGAGTGTGTTGCTGTGGGCACCGTTTTCAGGAAAGTGACCAGCAGAATTCGACTTTTTTCAGTTTTGCTTACTCTGCTGGCTGCATTATTTAGCCCTTTAAGTAACATTCTTCTGCCTTGTGCTTGCATTCACCTGGCAGAATTAGTGACTGCTGTACAAGCAAGACTTTCAAATACTCTGCTTTAGAATATACTGCATTCTTGTGCACGGATAGCAGTTTGCAATGGATGGCCCTCTCAATCACAACACTCCTCTAATATAATTTTGTAGAGTATAAGCATGAGTTCAATGCAGACAGGATTAAGTATGTAAAAACAAAACACTGCATAGTAGTAGAGTGACAGAAGGCATCTGAGAAGGGCTTAGCACTTATTGTAATGAGTCTGAGAGGTGCCTGTTGTTGACTCTTAATGTTTAGCATTTGTGATTCAGCTCTTCAGCTTACTCTAAAAATAAAAAAAAAAAAAAGAAAGGAAACTCGACCTTGACCTCAGGAGTACAGCTTGACCTCATGGCTACTGGAAGAGTTATTATGGAACTGCTTTTCCTGTTCCCATAATACCTCCCTTATATTTAAAGAAAGTTTTAGTAGCCAAATCACATGACCCCACAGCAGAAGGGGGCTTAGCATGTTAAGTGCCACATAGCAGTTTTATCTTCGAGGAAAAAAATGGAGCACAGACTTCCTGGTAGGTAGGCAGTGAGTGAAGTCATGATAATCAGCTTTGTCCCTTTGTCGGTGCCACCTCAGCCATACACTGTTGCCACCTCCTTATCCTGCCACTT